CAGGTCCTTCAGCGCTTCGGCTTCACGTACTCCTCGCCTCAGGCCACTCCTCTGCCTACTCGCCACTCACTCTCAGCTCTGCCTTCGGATGAGTCCGTAGAGTCGAGTGGTCCGTATGCAGAGCTTGTTGGCTGCCTCATGTACCTGATGACCTGCACACGACCTGACCTTGCATACCCTCTGAGCATTCTTGCACGCTATGTTGCTCCTGGGAGACACAGACCAGAGCACATGGTTGCAGCGAAGAGGGTATTGCGCTACCTGTGCAGTACGTCGGGCATGGGGCTAGTGCTTGGAGGGCGGAGTCCAGTGGTCCTTACCGGCCACGCGGACGCTTCTTGGGCTGACGACTAGGCTACGCAGCGGTCGTCACAGGGTTACACCTTCAGCCTTGGTTCCGGCTCTGTCTCGTGGCGGTCTACTCGCTCGTCTTCGGTTCTCGGCTCCAGTTGTGAGGCTGAGATCTACGCCGGGGCCATGGCTGCACAGGAGCTTCGCTGGCTCACCTACCTGCTGACTGACCTTGGAGAGCCACCTCGTTCTCCTCCAGTGCTGTACGTAGACAACAAGGCCATGCTGGCCTTGTGTCGAGAGCAGCGCTTGGAGCACAGAACGAAACACATTGCTCTCCGCTACTTCCTTGCTCGTGAGCTGCAGCAGCGTGGTCAGTTGCGACTTGCGTACGTGGCCTCTGAGGCCAACACTGCTAATGTGTTCACCAAGGCACTCGCGCCTTGTGACCATCAGCGCTTTTGCACCCAGCTGGGTCTTGTGCCTGTCTTGCCTCACTTGCTCTCCTCTTGACTTCACTTGTACTGTGACATATATATATACCTGCTCTTGCTTGTCTAGTTTTATATATATGTCTGTACTCCTGCATGTGAACTGGCCTCTGGCCCTGCTCTTGTGCTCGGACTGTGTGGTGACTTTGTGATCCACCCTGAGCTTGCTTTGCTTTGCTTTGCTTGACTGGTCTTGTGACCCCTTGTTCTCCCCCACTTTGCCTATGGGGGTGTGTCAGATTATCATAGCTGATGCATGTTTGTAGGCCATAGTGGGGTAGCACATATGGGGTACAGCTTTCTAGGGTTGAGCCTGGGGCTGCTGGACCTGGGGGTGCGGGGCTTGGGGGTGCTGCGTCTGGGGGTGCTGAGCCGGGGGGTGCTGAGCCTGGGGGTACTACGTCTAGGGGTGCTGAGCCTGGGGGTGCTGAGCGTGGGCTTACTGAGCCGGGGGGTGCTGAGCCTGGGGGTGCTACGCCTGTGGGTACTGCGTGTGGAGGTGCTCCACCTGGAGGTTCTCCGGGTGCTTCGTCTTGCTGGGAGCCACTCTCTCCACAGGAACTGCGCGAGTGGTTTGCCCGGCGCTGGCGTCGTGCTGCTGGTGCTGGAGGTTCTTCGGCTGCCTAGGGTGCTGCGGTCGCGGGTCCTGGAGGTGCTCGTACTGGTAGTACTGGAGCTGCTGGGCCTGCGGGTTCGACTGGAGCTGGTGCTGCTGCGGGTGTTGGCGCTGAGACTGCCGGTGGCGGTCCTGCTGGAGGTGCTCCTGGTGCTGCTGGAGGTTCTGGAGCTGCTGGAGGTGCTGCTGGAGCGGGTGCTCCTACTGAGGGTACTGGTGGTGTCCCTGCTGCTTCTGGCGTCGCCATGCGGCCTCGACCGTACTTCGTTCCACTCCTGCAGCAGGTTCTTGGTCTTCCACCTTCTACTGGTCCTCCTCCTCCCTTAGAGTGTCCGCAGCCTGTCCAGCCACAGTTATAGCTGCAGCCTACCTCCCCTTTGCCTGCTCCTTCTCCCTACACTGGTCCTACTGGAGGTCTTGCTGAGCGTCGTGAGCCTGCGTCTCGCCCTACGTCGCCTGTCCGTCCTACTCGCGCTAGTGGTCGTAGTTCGTGTGAGCGTCCTCCTCCTGTCCCTGGCACGCACCGGATGTCTCTGCGTCCGTCCACTGCTCCTCTGCGTGCCCCTTTGCCTTCTCCTCCTGAGTCCTCTCTTCCTGCTCTTCCCGACCCGGAGTCGGACTCTCTTCGTGCTGCCAGTCCTACTGTCACGCGTCTCCTGGCTACTGTCGTCACTGACCCTTCTTTTGAGTCTACTGCTGCGTCTGCTCTAGTTGCTGAGCTCGTCGACTTTGCTGCTCGTTGTCGCTTAGACTACGCTGCGAGTCTTGTCGCTGAGTCTGAGTCTGTCTGTCCTCCATCCGTCGGGGGTGAGTGTGCCCTTGGCACGGACGTCCTTGAGGACAGGCAGGAGGAGTTCCAGTGTCTGGCAGCTGCTTCACCTCATCTCGTGTCCGTACTGCTTACCCCTGAGGGAGACCCGGATGCACTTGACATCCCGACTCCGTGCTCTTACGCGGAGGCGATAGAGGGTCCCTACTCCTCTCAGTGGCAGGCAGCTATGGATGCAGAGATGGCTTCCTGGAAGTCCACAGGCACCTACGTTGACGCTGTCCCCCCTCATGGGGCGAACATCGTCAGTGGCATGTGGATCTTCAGGGTGAAGCGGCCGCCGGGTTCTCCGTCTGTCTTCAAGGCGCGTTACGTGGCTCGTGGCTTCAGTCAGCGGCAGGAAGTTGACTACTTTCAGACCTTCTCCCCCACCCCGAAGATGACCACTCTTCGGGTACTGCTACACGTTGCTGTTCACCGTGACTACGAGCTGCACTCTCTCGACTTCAGCACAGCTTTCTTACAGGGCAGCCTGCACGAGGAGATCTGGCTGCGTCGCCCACCTGGCTTCACTGGGTCTTTCCCTCCTGGTACCCAGTGGAGTCTCCGGCGTCCAGTCTACGGTCTCCGCCAGGCGCCACGTGAGTGGCACGACACACTTAGGACTACGCTTGCGGCTCTTGGGTTTGCTCCTTCTACTGCCGACCCGTCGCTGTTTCTGCGCACCGACACCTCTCTGCCGCCGTTCTACATCCTCGTGTACGTCGACGACTTGGTTTTCGCCACAGCTGACACTGCTGGGCTCGCCTACGTGAAGTCCGAGCTGCAGAAGAGACACACGTGCACAGACCTGGGTGAACTGCGCAGCTACCTTGGCTTGCAGATCACCCGGGACAGAGCACGCCGCACCATTACCCTGACTCAGTCACACATGGTGCAGCAGGTCCTTCAGCGCTTCGTCTTCACGTACTCCTCGCCTCGGGCCACTCCTCTGCCTATTCGCCACTCGCTCTCAGCTCTGCCTTCTGATGAGTCCGTAGAGTCGAGTGGCCCGTACCCAGAGCTTGTTGGCTGCCTCATGTACCTGATGACCTGCACACGTCCTGACCTTGCATACCCTCTTAGCATTCTCGCACGCTATGTTGCTCATGGGAGACACCGACCAGAGCACATGGCTGCAACGAAGAGGGTGTTGCGCTACTTGTGCAGTACGTCGGGCATGGGGCTAGTGCTTGGAGGGCGGTGTCCAGTGGTCCTTACTGGGCACGCGGACGCTTCTTGGGCTGACGACTAGGCTACGCAGCGGTCGTCACAGGGTTACACCTTCAGCCTTGGTTCCGGCTCTGTTTCGTGGCGGGCTACTCGCTCGTCTTCTGTTCTCGGCTCCAGTTGTAGAGGCTGAGATCTACGCCGGGGCCATGGCTGCACAAGAGCTTCGCTGGCTCACCTACCTACTGACCGACCTTGGAGAGCCGCCTCGTTCTCCTCCAGTCCTGTACGTAGACAACAAGGCCATGCTGGCCTTGTGTCGAGAGCAGCGACTGGAGCACAGAACAAAGCACATTGCTCTCCGCTACTTCCTTGCTCGTGAGCTACAGCAGCGTGGACAGTTGCGGCTTGCGGACGTGGCCTCTGAGGCCAACACTGCTGATGTCTTCACCAAGGCACTTGCGCCTTGTGATCATCAGCGCTTCTGTACTCAGCTGGGTCTTGTGCCCGTCTTGCCTCACTTGCTCTCCTCTTGACCTTGCTTGTACTCTCACATATATGTATACTTGCTCTTGCTTGTCTAGTTTTATATATATGTGTGTACTCTTGCTTGTGAACTGGCCTTGTGGCCTTGACCTTGTGCTCAGACAGTGTGGTGACTTTGTGATCCACCCTGAGCTTGCTTTGCTTTGCTTTGTTTGACTGGTCTTGTGACCCCTTGTTCTCCCCTTCTTTGCCTATGGGGGTGTGTCATAACATTATAGCTTATGCTGTTGTGTAGGCTATAGTGGGGTATCCCATAGGGGGTACAACCCAATTAGGGTTTCTTATTTGTACTCACTTCATTCATAGTTGATGCATTCTCGTTCTCATTTTCACAGAGTGCAACGTCAGTGCAAAAAACCCACAGGTGTAAGGTTTCCATCATGGGCGGGGCAATTTCGCGTGCACTGGTTGGGCATCATGTGTACAGTGTTTGAGTCATCTTGAATTGTGTACAGTGCATGTAGTTTCTGCATCTCCTACAAGAAGCTGAATTCGTGAAAGCTGAATGGCTAGCTGTCCTGGCGAGACATCCCGAAGACAAGGACCAAGTAGAGTGCCCTTGCTTCGTGTTGTACACCCTGTTTCTCGATGTTTGAACAGACGGGAGCCCCGGCTACAGTGCGCACGTGTGCTTGGATTCAGCGGGCTTGTGCTTGCAACCGAAATGCACTTCAAGAGAACGGTAGACAACGGTTTATAAAAATAAACGTGCTTTTAAGTTTGGTTTCGTGCGGCAAAAGTGCTTATACGGTATGTTCTGGGACCAATTTGGACGCATTGATGTCACACAACCGGTTTATCAATATGGCGAATGTCAGTGTGGCGCGAAACAGGGTGTATTTGGAGAATTCATTTGTTTTCCAGAGCCGACTAACATTTTCCTCGTATCCAATTGCTGTTACTACGAGTCCAGCGAGTCATTTAGTGTTACTTTACTTACGCTGTTAGTCCGTGACGTCACCACTCCTGCAGAAAAAGGAAAATAAGGAAAGAAAGCAAAAAAAGGGTTTTAGTAGTACCGTCTTTCTTTTGGTCGTCTTCACTATTACCTCATTCACGCGCGCGTTAGTTCAAAGCTATGAGCTTCCTTCGGTTTAGACGAGGATCATCGGAAAACAGCTACTTCAATCAAGTAAGAACACTCCCGGCCTCCGCACTTTCCCTCAGTAACTTTCCGCATCCCCGTCCTTTCCCTCGTCCCTTCCACCCCCCCTTTCCTCTCCTCTCTCCCCCTATTTCCCCGCCTCTCCCTCCTCCCCCTTCCTCCTTTTCCTCCCGCTGCTTAACCCCGAAATCTGGTCCTTCCAAATCCAGGTTATTCATTCTCCCGTTCCGTGTCTCTTTTGTAACATCAGATTTTGGCAAAAAATCCATTATCTCTTGTTTTCGTGTATCCGCGTGTTCCTTTCCTAGTTTTTTCACCTTCTTATATATTTCCTCCTTTCATCTCATCTTTTGCCCGTCTATCCGCTTCATATGCTTTTCAGGAAAGCGAGTTGAAGGCCAGCAAATTAAGAGATTCCGCGCAGTTGCGCTCCCAAAATAATAATGGAGATATTTGTTTTGGGAGTTCCGATGGCAATGCCGCATCAGCAGCCCCTCCTGCATCTACCAATTTTGATAACTCCGTGGATGTGCTCCCGGAGATTCTCAGCCATCGATTGCCTCTCGCGAGCCGATCAGAGCCGTTGATGGACGTCAGGTACTCGCCAGGTGGATCTGGAGATGCAGCGAGTAATGACAGAGGTGGAGATGCAGATAGATTCGCACACGTCAGCAGATCAGCGCCAGGTGGATCTGCACTCGTCAGCAGGGCGGCCAGGGGATTGCCTGGTGCATTGGAGGGGGCGGTGGGGCATGTTCCGCAGACGCGGCTCGGCAGGGGCAAGTGAGTGCGGTGCAGACAGGTGGAGTGCGAGCGAGTGCGGAAAATTAGTTTTTGAGGATGTCCTGATTGTGTAACCCTAGGAGCGAGTTTTTTGGGGCCAGAGAGCAACTATGTTAGCTACCCTTCGCTATCCAGTTATTCCAGGGTTTTTTTCCTGCTTTCACTTGTTTTCACCTTCTTTCTCCTGCTTTTTCCTTCTTTCTCCTCCCTTTTCCTCCTTTCTCCCGTTTCTTCCTGCTTTCACCTGTGTCGTCCAGCTTCCTCATATTTCCTCCGGCTGTCTCTGGTTTTCTCCTGCTTCGTCCTCCTTGCAACCTGCTTTCTCCTGTTATCTCTTTGCTCATCCTTTTCTGCTTCCTCTTCCTTTCTCCTGCTTCCCCATGCTTCCCCATGCTTCCCCCCTGCCTGCCTTTCTGTTGTGCCGTGTTCGTGCATCCTCCACACCACACGCCTTTCCCATCCACACACCTCCCCCATCCACACACCTCCCCCATCCACACACCTCCCCCATCCACACACCTCCCCCATCCACACACCTCCCCCATCCACACACCTCCCCCATCCACACACCTCCCCCATCCACACACCTCCCCCATCCACACACCTCCCCCATCCACACACCTCCCCCATCCACACACCTCCCCCATCCACACACCTCCCCCATCCACACACCTCCCCCATCCACACATCTCCCCCATCCACACGCCTCCTCCCTCCACACGCCTTCCCCCTCCACACGCCTTCCCCCTCCACACGCCTTCCCCCTCCACACGCCTTCCCCCTCCACACACCTCCCCCATCCACACATCTCCCCCATCCACACGCCTCCTCCCTCCACACGCCTTCCCCCTCCACACGCCTTCCCCCTCCACACGCCTTCCCCCTCCACACGCCTTCCCCCTCCACACGCCTTCCCCCTCCACACGCCTTCCCCCTCCACACGCCTCCTCCCTCCACACGCCTTCCCCCTCCACACTCCTGCTCTCTATACACACCTTGCCTAGGTACCAAATATCATTCGATAACGCGCACACGCCTTCTCCTTCCACAGCCAATGAGAGGCGGCCACGTGGACCGGACAAGGCGACAACAGAGGGCATGGCGCAGGCTCTCCGGATGGGTGTGTGTCAGAGGGCGGTTGGGAGGGTGAATGGGTGGGTGTTAGGGTGGGAGGGTGAGAGGGTGGGTGGTAGGGTGGGAGGGTGAGAGGGTGGGTGGTGGGGTGGGAGGGTGAATGGGAGGGTGGGAGGGTGAGAAGTTGGGATGTTGGGTGGAAGGGTTGGCGGGTGGACGGGTGGATGGGAGGGTGGGGGAGTGGGAGAACAGGGAGAAGTATCTTAGCATCTTGTTCGTGAGCTTGTATCTCTTCTTTGTCCACCCTCCCCCTTCCCGTTCCCACTCCCCTCGTCCACCTGCTTTCTCGTTGCATTTTCATGCATGACGGTTCTTTTAGGAGCCTCAAAATAACATCCCAGGAAAAATGCATTTTAAAAAGCTAGCATCTTTCTTCCCCCTTCCCGTTCCCCCTCTCATCCCTCCCCCTTGCATGTTCCTGTGATGGGTTAGTGACCAAATCGTTTGCTATAGCCACTGTGATAGTTGCGGGGGGAGCAGCAGTGGCCGTGGCAGGCACGTTTCGAGCATTGGATGTGCAAACGGTACGTGATGTGGGGTTGTTCCTGGTGCAATGTGTGTGTGCCCTGATGTGGTGCTGTTGTGTTACTGTCGACTCAAACCACGCCTAGTGTTGGGGGTGGGGAGGGGCGGGGGGGGCTGCTGTGGCCGCGGTAGCCACGTTTCAAGCCTTGGATGTGCAATTAATACGTGATGTGTTGGCTGCTGTGTTGTGAGCGTGACCTGATGTGCTGCTGCTGCTCATGTGGTGGTGTTGCTGATGTGTGTGCGGGCGTTTGTGTGGGTGCCTATGTGCGTGTTTGCTGCTCTGATGTGGTGGTGTCACTGCCGGTCGTGTTGTTCCTAATTATCTGTCTCAGCCAAGAGGCACCCATGAATAACCCCTTGCTCGTTCATGGAGTCTCCAGCCCTCTTTACATTGAAGTTTTTTTTGGACGGGTTATAAATCACCTCAGTGCATTTTCAGGCGCCTTGAAAATCACCCATGAATCACGCATGAATACTAGTTCATTCATGCGAGTCTCTAGCCTTTGTTTAGCATGGGGGCATTCCTGCGAAGAGAAAATCTTATTTGCTTTCGAGGCACCCCTAGCATATCTCTTGCTTGTGCACGCATCTCTAATTCTGCACCCCTTCACCAGCCTTATATGTATTTTGAGGCACCTCAAAATACACCTCAATGCACGCGGATTTCATACGGAGAGGGTTATTACAGCTTGGAAGTGTTCGTGTCTCTTGCTTGTGCACGCGTCTCTAATTCTGCACCCCTTGACCGCTCTCAAAAGACTTGGAAACATTTTTTTTTGCTCGTGGATGTGACTCCTCTATCCTGTCACCAGCTTCAGGACCTTCCTGTGAAGGAAAAGATTGTTTTGCTCTCAAGGCACTCGCCTGTAACATGTTTCTGTGCTCATGCATGTGAGTCTCCGCTCCTTTCATCAACTTGAGGACCTGCCTGTGAAGGTAAAAGCCTTTGCAATCTCAAGGCAACCCTAATACTTTGCTGTTCATGAATTTCCCTCCTATCACCAGCTTGAGGACCTGCCTGTGAAGGGGAAAGCCGCCATCCAACCACGAATTGATGCCATTGCTCAGTGGCTCTCCCCACTTAATCACCAGGTAATCCCCTCAGTGGCTCTCCCCTCTTAATCACCAGGTAATCCCCTCAGTGGCTCTCCCCTCTTAATCACCAGGTAATGGTAATTGCTCAATGCGTTGATGCCATGATTAACACATTGTTCCTTCACCAGGCTCTCCCTGCGTATGTTTTTTGAGAATTCTAAAAAAACCAGGCTCTCCCTGCGTATGTTTTTTGAGAATTCTAAAAAAACCAGGCTCTCCCTGCGTCTGGTTCTCAACTCACCCATTTTCAGGTTATGGATACCATACCCTCTGTTGCCACATCAATTTGCATAGCAACTGTCAGGGTTTGGTGATTAATGTACTAGTATTTGCCCTAGCTTAGCAGCCGCCTTTTTCCAAAATGGTACCATTCTTTTTACTTCCTCAAGAAAAGCTCTTGCGCTGCTGCTGTTGGGGCAGCAACCACCAGCAGCTGAGGGACACACATGGTTGTGGGTGAACATATAGGTGGCTAGCAGTCTCTTTCAAGGTATCTTTATCAAAACGAATTAATAATCCTGCTCTTCTATATCCCCCCCTGCCTGCTGCTGGCAGGTGCAGCAAGTAGCAGCAGAATGGCAGATGAAGGAGGGGGACCAATCAGCCCTGGGATCAAGATTTGCTGAGTCAATTGGAGCAAGAAGAGACCATTCAGAGAGGCCTGCTGATTTGAAGGAAGCAGATGGAGATGGATGAGGAGAGAGAGAAATGGATAAGGAGAGAGGAAAGGCTGATGCTTGAATCTTAAATCCAATCATGCACGCTACCGTACTTCACAAAAGTGCCATGTAAAAAGGAGTAACGGAGTGAAGGATGCTGGGCGGAATGGATGGAGGATGAAGCAGAGGACAGAGAATGGAGCGGAAGGGATGGCTATACTGCAGAGCAGGGTCACAAGCAAACCCATGATTTGCTGGACTTCTTTAAGCAAGTCGTCTTGTGCTGCCCAAGTGATTGGTGGGATGGGACACGATGCAGCAGGTAGGCACAGGCAGCAAGGGCTTTGCTGACCTGCAGAAGAGCGGATTTCAGGTGGTGCTGGCATCAATCAAATACCTGAATCGGAAAATTGATGGGAGAAGCCATATGCCAGCCACAATTCCACATCAGCCAGCTACTGTAACAGCCATGTCCTGCTGTGTTTCCTTTGCCCTGCATACCTGTCTGTTACCATATGCAGCTGATCCGGTTTCAAATGCTCTTGCAGTTTTAAATGTTGCTGCATTTTTCAGTGCTGTGCAAGGCACCGCACCCCAACAAGCAAATATACTTTCTTGTTGCCCCATAAGCATTCAGCTTCCCAGTAGTAGCTGCTATTCCATAAGAGGGCAAAAAGCAACCGCTTTCAGGCGCATTCATCTCAGATTCTAAGCAGCTCCTTGTTCCCAGTGCTCATGGGCAGCACTCTCCACTCCAGGTGCCACTCTCCAGCAGAGCGGACGACTCTCCATCCATTCCCCCCGTTCCATTCCGTGTGAAGGTCATGCATTAGCACACCCACTCTCCAGGAACCTTCCTCATGTTGTTGCTGCAATGGCAGCACCCTTCCCTCAAGCAATCGACACTCCACCCCGCCTATTCCGTGGGGAGGCCACACGACGCAGCGCACCTGCCCCTCCAGGCAACTTGCACCCACTTTCCAGGCACTTTCTTAGTGTTGTTGCTTCAGAGGCAGAACTCGCCCCTCTGGCATTCGGCTCTCCACCCCCCCTATTCTGTGGGGAGGCCATACAATGCAGCGCACCCGGCCCTCCAGCAATGCAAGTGGCACCTGGCAGATGGTAAGGTGCAAGGTGCAGATGGTAAGGTGCAGGGTGCAGATGGGTGCAAGGTGCAGATGGTAAGGTGCAGGGTGCAGATGGTAGGGTGCGGGGTGCAGATGGTAAGGTGCAGGGCGCAGATGGTAAGGTGCAGGGTGCAGATGGTAAGGTGCAGGGCGCAGATGGTAAGGTGCAGGGTGCAGATGGTAAGGTGCGGGGTGCAGATGGTAAGGTGCAGGGTGCAGATGGTAAGGTGCAGGGTGCAGGAGGAACGGGAGAAGAAGAGAATTCAGCATTTTGTGGAGAGGCCACACACTGCAGAGCACCGGACTCTCAGGCAGTGCGAGTGGCACCTGGCAGGTGACAGGGGGAGCAATGCATGGCAGGGAAGAGTTTTCGGGAAGGGGGGGAGCGGGGGGATGCGGAACAGGGGAGAGGCGTTCCAGAACGGAAATAGAGTGAGATGCCACTGACTGAATACAACAACCCGCAACAAGCAAGCATGCCTTGCCGTGCCACTTGCTAGTACACCCAATCACACCACAGCTGCAGCCATGGCCATACCCACAGACACACTCCCACCTACCACCCACCACCCACCACCCAGCAACCACAACCACACTCATACCGGGCCAAAGTGTTTAGAATCCTCGCTGACATCAGCATTGTCCCCTTCCACCCAGCAGTGGCCCTTGGGGATCCGCCTGATGACGTCATCACCCCTGTTGGCGTCACTTCCGCTGGTGCTGGCGTCAGTGGTGCTGTCGCTCGGCACTGTTACCCAGTCGTCCTGTAGTGCGATGAGACGTTTTATGAGGCACACGTCGGGATCAATGGGTGATCTGCACTGTTACACGGGGGAGGGTTAGGAGGAAGGGAAGAGGACGAAGAGCGGAACACACGAAGAAATTTCTTCTTGTGAAAAAATAAAATAAAATATGAAATAAACAAATGGATAAAATCCACGAAAGCAGGCGGAGAGTGGGGTAGAGCGGTGAGCAGAAGAAAGCATTACGAGTCTCGTGAGAAACTGGTCGGGAAGTAGGGGACATGCACTGCTGTAAGAGTGAGAGAGGAGAGCAGGGGAAGAAGGGGAGGAGGACCTGGAAGAAAGGGGGGGCTGCGTTTTCTGCATTATCTGTTGCAAGGGGGACGGGGAGGGGAGAGGGGGGGAGGGGAAGCGGGAAGGGGAGGGGAAGAGGTAACTGGTTAAGCATCTCCCTCCTCCTCAATCCACTCCCTCCTCCTCAATCCACTCCCTCCTCCTCAATCCACTCTCTCCTCCTCAATCCACTCCCTCCTCCTCAATCCACTCCCTCCTCCTCAATCCACTCCCTCCTCCTCAATCCACTCCCTCCTCCTCAATCCACTCCCTCCTCCTCAATCCACTCCCTCCTCCTCAATCCACTCCCTCCTCCTCAATCCACTCCCTCCTCCTCAATCCACTCCCTCCTCCTCAATCCACTCCCTCCTCCTCAATCCACTCCCTCCTCCTCAATCCACTCCCTCCTCAATCCACTCCCTCCTCCTCAATCCACTCCCTCCTCCTCAATCCACTCCCTCCTCCTCAATCCACTCCCTCCTCCTCAATCCACTCCCTCCTCCTCAATCCACTCCCTCCTCCTCAATCCACTCCCTCCTCCTAAATCCACTCCCTCCTCCCCTTCCTACCGCTCTTCTCTTCCCCATTCCTCCCCTACACTCCCACCACATCCCCCTCGATATAATCACCTGAGCACCACCACGTCTCCGCGCTGGTATTGCATGTAACGCGCCGACAGCCAGCACTGTCTACGTTCATCCCGCTTCACTCTCCCTCCTCTCTCCCCCCTCCCCCTCTCCCCCTTCCCCCGTCATAATCACCTTAGCAACATGACATCCTTACCTTCGCACTTCCCCACATTTCCCTTCCCTCCTCTTCCTTCTCCCTATTCTCCCCCTCTCTTCTCTCCTTTATCGTCCCACCTCCCCCCCTAACTCCCCATCCCCCCCGATATAATCACCTGAGCACCACAACGTCCCCCCGCTGGTACTGCATGTAACGCGCCGACAGCCTGTCTAATAGCACGCGATCGCTAAGGGCGGCACGGAATGGCAGGCCGGTTTTGTCACGTAGCGGGTTGAAGGTGGGCGACATGGAGTGGCCGTCCACGCCGCACATGCTGACGACGTTGTCGTGAACCGTCAGGACGACCGGCACGGCGAGGGATAACTGACGGACGAGCTGTCGCAATAAGAGGGGGAGGGTTGAGGGGAGGAGGATGAGGGATAACTGTCGGACGAGCTGTCGCAATAAGAGGGGGAGGGTTGAGGGGAGGAGGATGAGGGATAACTGACGGACGAGCTGTCGCAATATGAGGGGGAGGGTTGAGGGGAGGAGGATGAGGGATAACTGACGGACGAGGTGTCACAATAAGCACGAACAGTCGCAGAAATTTGGGGATGTGGTTTCTACAGAATAAAATAAGTAAAAAGCCAAACATTCTTCGAGTGCCGGATTTCGGACAATGAGTGAGGAAGAAATACGGGGAATTTTCGAAAAAGGAAAAAATAAGCATGCAGGATGCTCCTTGGGTGCTAGCAGGCAAACGCTTACCTGCCAGATAGCGAAGCGCATCGTCATGCCTCCAATAATGGCTTCGAAATAGACGAAATTGGTTGAGGGGGTCGAACTTCTAAACGATGCGACACGAAAGAGACCCTAGAGTCAATGGGTGGTGTCAGAAAACAACTAATTCCCCGATGCCTGTAATGCCAGTGATTCCAGTGATGCTGGTGATCGCGACGACTAAGCGACTTTGCTACGAACCTAGTAACCGCAGGACCATCATTTTGCGACTCGAAACTCGCATCATCACTCTGGGTGCCGCAACGAGCCGCTGAAATTTCCTGTTTCAAATAGCTCGCGTGAGACTTCTAATGAGGATCTGGTTCTAGGAGGGTATGGCGTTTGGTGTCAGAGTGTAAGGAATTTTCTCGGCATTCCTTACGGAGCCCAACTACATCGCGTACAGCAACAGCCGTTGTTTGCTAGTTACTACTAACGGGACTTCGCCAACTTCGCGCGCACTGTTTTGTCAAACCTCTCACTGCTGGCCCGGCCGTGTCGGCCTACGCTTCGGGACTAGCCCAAGCCTCGCTGCCAGCATAGCACTAGCTAGCTCGCACGCACCGCGTTACCATTTGCATGTTTCGCGTATAAATGTTCGCTCATGCCTTCGCTCACATCTTGATACTCATTTGACACCTTATTGCAATTCTCGCTACTTCGATTCATTGCACCCGTAACACTTGGTATGAAGAGCCTCTTTCCTTTTCGGACCGCGCATCTCCGCACCCCAGGAAATCAACTTTTGTTTTTTCACTCAAAGGGGCTCACGTACCTTAGCACCTAGGAGCCGCTGTCCTCGCGTTCTCTCGTAAACGCATGCAGCCACGACTGCGCCTAGACTAAGACGAGCCGATGCCCTTCGAAATGGCTGAACATATCGACGTCACGACTCTCACGCAAGAGCACTTGAACGATCTGCTGCGACAAATCCGCGAGAGCGCCGAGGAAATCGCGACGCTGGCGGCAGAACGCTCGTCCCTGCAAAACGACCTCACTCGGGCACAATCCCAAGCACCTGGCACTCCGATTCAGCCCGCACCACAGACATCACATCACGGAAGTGTGGGGCAACCCGCGAGCGCCGCAAGTGATGGAGTCGTCCGCCATGACGGAGACGACGACCACGGCACGACACACCCCGACGCGACAAATCCAGCCAGGACTCAGCCTCGAGTCACGATTTCGGTGTCGGTCGGCGAATCAACTCTTCCGTCGCCGATGCCGCTAAAACCTCAGCGTCCGCCATGCTTTGACCCAAGTCAGCGGGGTGGTCATACCGTTTAGGCGTGGCTCTTCACGTTGAACGTCTTCTTCGACGCGAACTACGTCTCGGAGGATACGGCGAAGATTCGCTACGCCGTGTCGTTGCTGCGAGGACCCACCATGGACTGGTGGCGCGTCATCGTCACGAAGCCGGTGGACTACGCGACTCTACCAACACGGGAAGGACAAACCGGACCCTGGGGGCCGTCGTATTTCGTGGAGGTGCCCCAGAATCGCACGTGGGACACGTGGTGCGCAGGTCTGCGCGCTCGTTTCGAGCCAATCGCGGCGCGACAGAATCTCCGCACTTGGCGCCAACTCGGTTCCGTCCAAGATTACACGAGCAGATTTCTGGCGCTATGCGAGCAGGTGGGATATATGCACGAGAGCAAGCACATCGATCGCTACATCGGCGGCCTAAAGCAGGACATCGCTCAAGAAATCCAGCTTCGCGACGTCAATTCTCGCTATGGCTGAGAAACTTGATTTCTTCCGCCGACCGAGACCGGAGTCCTACGGAAGCAACCATTGGGGACATCGGCCTCGTGGGACGAACGAGGGCGCCACGATACGTGCCGTCGCCGCAAATGCCGCTGCCGCACCATTCAAAGGGCACTGCTTTGCGTGCAATCGGCTAGGACATCGCAAGAGCGAATGCCCGGAGAACGGTAAGGGAAAGGGGGAAGCTGTGTCAAACATTATATGTGTTCTGCTTGTGTAGGCTACAGTGGGTTAGCCTATAGGGGGTACACAATTCTAGGGTTTCCTACTTGTACTCATTTCACTGCTAGTTCATTCATTCCTGTTCGCTGATTCTGACATGGTATAGAGCGGGTCCTTCTACGGACCGTTTTTTGGGCCCACCGAAGCGCCCCCCGAGGCGCGATTTTTTTTTAGCGACCCCTCGGGTCGTCATTTTCCCTGCGGCCCCGCCGCTTTCACTGACGCGGCCCCGCCGCCCTCTCTGACGGGGCCCCGCCGCCGGCCTTTACGCGGCCCCGTCGCCGGCTCTCACGCGGCCCCGCAGCAGGCTCTGTCGCGGCCCCGCCCCGGCCTTTACGCGGCCCCGCCGCCTGCTCTCACGCGGCCCCGCCCCGGCTCCTTCGCGGCCCCGCCGCCTGCTCTCGCGCGGCCCCGCCCCGGCTTCTACGCGGCCCCGCCCCGGCTTTCACGCGGCCCTGCCGACGACTTTGTCGCGGCCCCGCCCAGGCCCTTACGCGGCCCCGCCACCTGCTCTCACGCGGCCCCGCCCCGGCTCCTTCGCGGCCCCGCCGCCTGCTCTCGCGCGGCCCCGCCCCGGCTTCTACGCGGCCCCGCCCCGGCTTTCACGCGGCCCCGCCGACGACTTTGTCGCGGCCCCGCCCAGGCCCTTACGCGGCCCCGCCACCTGCTCTCACGCGGCCCCGCCCCGGCTCCTTCGCGGCCCCGCCGCCTGCTCTCGCGCGGCCCCGCCCCGGCTTCTACGCGGCCCCGCCCCGGCTTTCACGCGGCCCCGTCGACGGCTCTGTCGCGGCCCCGCCCAGGCCCTTACGCGGCCCCGCCGCCTGCCCCCGTCGCGGCCCGGTCGCCTCCTGACGGCTCCTGCCATCACCTTCTACCGGCCCCCACCACCCAACCCCCCTTTTCCCGTCGCCTGTCGAGGCGACCTGAGGGGGCCGCTTGCAGAGGGGTGGCAGGTGTGTGGCCTCCCCTGCTTCTCCTCCTCCTTCATCTCCCACTGCAGCAGCCGAGCCGCTCACCTGCAGCAGCCGAGCCGCTCACCTGCAGCAGCCGAGCCGCCCCACCGCCTAGCCGCCCTGCACCCGAGCCGCCCAGCAGCCGAGCCGCCCTGCCGCCGAGCCGCCGAGTCGCTGAGCTGCTGAGCTGCTGTTGCTGCCGAGCCGCCCTGCCGCCGAGCCGCCGAGTCACCGAGCTGCTGAGCTGCAGTTGCTGCCGAGCCGCCTTGCCACCGAGCCGCCCAAGTCGCCCGAGCCGCCGAGCCGCCGAGCTGCCGAGCCACTGAGTCGCCGAGCCTACTCTTCCCACCACTGGTGAGCTCTTGCCCTGCTAGCACGCTGCGCGTCGCCTGCTTGCCTGCCTGCCTGCCTTTTGGCTTGCCTGGCTGCCTGCCTTCCTGCTGCTAGTCCTGCTCCTGCTTCTACTTGCGGAGCCAGATGCAGCCCCAGCGACGCCTGCGTGAGTCCCTCACGCCCCAGCAGCTGCGTGAGTGGTACGCTGGTTGGGGCTGTAGGGGTGGCGACGCTACTCCTACTTCCACTCCTGCTGCTTCTACTCGTGGTGGCGGCCAGATGCAGCTCCCGCGACCCTCTCGCGTGTCTCTCACGCCTCGCCAGCTTCGTGAGTGGTACGCTCAGAGTGGAGGGTCTCTCAGTGCTGTTCGCTGCTCTTACGTGATTCGCACTGGTACTCGGACTGGTCAGCCTTGTGGGACACGTAGTCATACACCGTCCCGCTGCTTCGCCCGTCTGAGCGACGCCTGGCGTACCGTGTTTGGCGACGAGGCTGAGCTTCCCGACTGGGTGGAGTTGCTTAGGCAGAGGGTAGATATATATGCTCTTGACTATGATGCTATTCTCACTGCCATGTATGCATTGCCTACTAGTGCTGACCGTGCCGGTCACCTGTGCGTCCCGCCTGACCCAGGTATAGGACCTGCTGCTCTAGCTACTGGTGAGGCTGCTGCTCTGGGTGCTAGTGAGTCTCCTGCTCCACGTACAGGTGCGGCTGCTGCTCTAGGTGCTCGTGAGTCTGCTTCCTCAGGTGCGGGTGAGGCTGCGCTCTCAGGTACCGCGTTGGCTTCGGCCTCCCTCACCTTTACACTTGACTCTGGGGCTTCTCGCTCCTTCTTTCGGGACCGCACCACACTCACGCCGCTTGGTCGGCCGGTTGCAGTCTC